TATGTTGTACTTTTGTCATGGAACTTAACACGCACTTCACTGTGTGAAGTCAAAGGTTGGAAATCTGACCGTAGGTATTTGTTATCTTTTATCTGCCTGTATATATACATACATACACATGAGCTGCACTGCATTTTTGTATTTCATCTAGACACAAACAAGACAAGTCCACATCATTAGTCACAAGGTAGGATGACACATCTATAATTAACTCAGAGCATGGGTGGCTTGCTCTGCTCTTCTCTAGTGCCAGTTATTTAATTCAACAAGATATGAGGATGAGGTTGTCACAAGTAAAACTGCAGTAGCAGCTGACATTCACAGACTTTATCATTGTGTAAAACAGCCCCTGGACTCTGTCTGCAGTCTGAACTAGTGTTGCAAAGCACATCGTTGGATGAGTACTCAAACAAAACTGCACTCTGTTAAACCTGGGACTGGAGTGCTTTTGAGGAGGAACGATTCCTCAAACTCAGCCGAAATGACACTAAAAGGCCACTGCTGGTATTTAAAGGAAAGGTTTACGACTTTGACACTATGACAAATAAGCAAGAACACATTTTACAGTTGTGGATGGGAGACACTCAGGGTTACTGTGGGGATGTACAATAAAATCAGGGTTTTGCAGTCCTTGTGGTTGGGGATTTATTTTGTATATCTTTATGCTAATAATGCATTATTACATAGTACTAGATGTCATGTTGTATTGCATGTTTACATTGTAAATGTCAATTGGTAAACAGTAAGATTATCCTTCAGCTTTTGTTTGTTGTGTGCCGGTCACATGGTGAGCTGCATCAGTTACATTTCCATCAGTAAGAAAGAACGAATTAACAATGGAGTACATCAAAGACCACATTCCTCCGTCTCTAGCGAATATTTAGGCACCGGCCAAATGATCTTTAACAACTAACTTAAGAATGCAGCTTCGCTGTCAACTAAGCAGAAGGGGGTGCTGCTTTCCTCGATGAAGCCGTCTCCCACAGGAAGAAAAACAAATGAGAGTCAGGTCTTAAAAATAGCATAATTTTGTTACAGCGCCTGGAGAGACAAATAACATTTCAGTAGATTACTTAAACACCTGTAAATTAGCATTTTTAGAAAACATGACAGATGCGTCAAATCAGGGTGCCAGGTGCACACAGGCTGCTCAAGCCATGTTAATGACTGTTAACATTAGCTCTGAGCAGCATTCTGTCACCTCTGTAAACACGAGATTGTGCTATCAGCTTAAAATTTCAACACTTTGAATAATCCCCAGGTCAACATCGTACAGTGCACATGACAGTCTGTGACTACTGTTAATCCTTTCCTCTTGTTTTTAAACTCATGACTGAAGGCAGGTTCGGTGCAATGTCACCAGTCTTACAGGGATAAAAGAGTGTTAGAAACACAGAAGCTATTAAATAACACTGACCGCCATTGTTGATTTTAAAAAAGGGGTTTAAAATTAGTACAATTTTGTCTTAATTTTTTTCTACCTGTTAAGCCATCTGTTGTTTCACATGGTTATTTTAAAACAATAAGAAAGGCAAAGAGATAAAAACACGCCTCACATATAAAATGGATTTTGCAATGGGAACCAACAGCTTTCACCATCTAATTAAGGCAGCACTGATGGAACACTGCAGAGATATATTTGTCCCTCTTCAGCAATGAAAAATGCAAGTTTAGATTTGGCTGAATAAGTTGCTTTCATTTTGTATTTGCTTTTTTAAATGCCGCAATTGAACAAGGATATTCAGATGAAGATTCTGTGATGTGCTTGGCAAACAGAATCGTATTTTGGCCTGCTTTGAGGAGGACAATGTGATACAATACTTTCACGTGTTCAGAAAAGAGCAGAACAGATCCCCCACATTTATATTCCCGTTGGTTTTGTATCAGCTCGCTAACTTTGGGAAAATATCACATGATATGCTTTAATTTCTCCATCAAATACTGGACACACCAACTCTTAGTGCACAAGCCATTTACCTTATGCATATTTTTTATTTGTAAAGTGAAAAAAAGGGGGTGCATTCAGAGCTGCTTTTATGGTTGTAGCTGAAGATCATTTGCCTTGATAAAATAAAGGAGTATCAGTCTAAAAATCAGCTTGTTCTGATAACACTGTAATCACACACCCTGCACAATGGAAACATTTTGAGGCATTCTTTCCTGTCCAATTGTGAGGAAACTACTTCTTCCATCTCAGGTTTTGGTAAATAGTTGCCTAATTAACTGTTGCGTGACTAAAATTAATTTCAATGCTCTCCTCTCTAAATTTAGGCGAAAAAAAAATCACAATAGACAGGGTAGAGACCAAACAGAAAGATCTTATTCATGTAGCTGCCATCTTATAATCCTACATATTGGGTGAATCCTATCAGCAAGTTTCAATTTATACGAACTTTGTAGTAAGCAAAGTGAGGTAAATCTATCTGGTCCTGAAGTGGTGAATTCTTTAAGCCCAAAGAGAGGATCTTTTGAACAGCAGAAAACAGGCTAATTTTAATCAAACGAGCCTATCTTTGAGCAAGAATAAACAACACTAAGCTGGAAGCTGTGAGATAAGAGTTTGATCACAGATAACAAGTGCAATGCCAATAAAAAAATAAAATAAACACATTAAAAAAAAAAGTTCCCTTTGAAGCAACAGAAACATCACCATCAATTATCTCTGGTTGATTTTACTGCACAATTTAATTCAATTAATTTTGATGGGGAAAATACGGTTAATTTTCAGTTTTTCACCTTTTTTAACTTTCATGAAATCTTGATATGATTTCTATTTATTAATAGCATTTATTGCACACATTTTTTCCAATCTATTTCTGTGGGTCTTTATATTCATTATAATAGCATACCGTTTGTGCATTTGAAAGATGAACTGCATATAACATTGTGCAGCACAAGAAAAGGTGAAACTAAAAGGATATATTCCAAACAAGGCAGTTATCATGTCTGCTGCACATCACACATAGCAAAAGAAGTAGAAATGCTTGCCAACAACTTCACTGTGAGGAGATATTAAAAGAAAACTCCTTAGTATGTGTGGGTAGTACTCTAGTCTCTTTAGTATTAGTGTCGGAGAGGTTGGTACAAAATAAATATTTTTTGTTGGGACAGGGGTGGGACCTTCAGCTGAATGTTGAACAAGTGCTGCAAGGTCACATTCTTATTCTCAGCGTGCATCAGGGTTGAACATGGACACACAGCAATTGTTCAAGTTGCTTGTATGGATATTTCATTTCATTAATCTTTTATTGAATAATTTACATCACTCAAAATTCTTAATGCAGCTGACTATTCCCTCTCATACTGAAACCTATTAGCCAAAGAGGCTCAGCATATATTAACCAGCATAATTTGTCTGCTGCCACTCGGTGATACTAATGCGCAGGTCAGAGTTTGGGAGGTTTTAAAGCTCTTTACGGTGGATGTGTGTGCGTGGCGGAGGTGTGTGTCGGGCACAAAATCTTGTTAACATTTTCTACTAAATAGAAAAATCTTTAAGTCTACCTTTCTCACAAAAGGTTCCTGTGAAGTGGAGTGGACAGTAACAGGACAGCAGAGCTCCACTGGGCAGCTGCAGCTGATGGCACGTTCCTCCATTTCGACAAAAACCTTGGCGGCAGACTGGAGCTTCATGCAGAGGACGTGCTGGAAGCTGAGTGGGCCGAGTTGTTGATGTGTTCATTATGTCGAATGGAGCCGACTGAGTTGTTAGACTTGAGGAACTTGCTGGGGATACCTCTGTGGCATGCAAAGTATATCTGATAGAACAAAGAATAGAGAAGATTAAAAGAACAGATTATCCCAGTTGACATCAAAATGACTCAGTTTTAAGGTTATGGTGTTAAATATACATGGGGAAAAGTGTATATTGTCCCTTCTTTAAACATAAAACCAGAAAGAACGATTTTAATATCATGTTAACCTGGTAAAAATCTAATTAAATGAAAGTACAATAAATACAATACAATAAATCCAGTTTCTCTTTTAGAGTCTAGAAGTTTACCTGCACCGATCTATGTTGCTGCTGCCAATGGCATCGGACGTGTAGAAACTCCTCAGGTGGTTTATTTGTATAATTTCAATGCAGCCAGTAAAGTTGTGGAAAGGCTTTGCTATCTTAGAAACAAAAACACATAGAGGGATGACATTTCAGCGTTAAAATGTGCCGGAACTGTGTGAAACTATAAACTGCGACTGTCTGCCAGTGCCTTTTTATTACAGCAGTTTGTTCAAATTACTCAGTAATTTAGTAGCTCACCTGATTGGGACGATATTGTTGTGGCAAACCCCCGATAAAGACATGGTTGGTTTTTCGAATCATGTGTCCCAGCCAGTAATTACTTGCTGTGCTTTTAATTTTCTCCTGACCAGAAAGCATCAGTTCTGCTTCACAAGGGGTCAGGCGTTGTCTATTAAAAAATATGCACATGTAAGGTCAAATGTAAGCATGCAACATGCTCAGGTACACAAGCCGTTGTGCGCTACTGATTGGCAATTACATTCTTGTTAGAAGGAGAAAGGGCATTGGATGCATGAGACATTTTCACAAAAACAGTAGTGATACATCCAAAGCAAGGACCTGATCCAGACATTTTTCTAAACATGGATCCGAATTTTGGCTTTTCAGTGAATTTTCAAATATTAAAACTTCTATTCAGATCCTTTGAAATGACCTGGTTGAGCACAAAATGTGACACTTTTAACTTCCATAGCTGTCATAATACCTCAGAGATGAGCAATGCAAAAGTTCTGAGATAAAGTATCCACAAATGTTGAATGCTGAGATTTGAAATCCATCATAAACGTGACAAATGTATTTTCCTTTCTAATGTGCTCAATAATCACACTCCTTTTCCAAGGTGCTGCTTCTGACCTCCATTTTGTTTTCACCAGGTGTCTGAGAAGCATCCACGCAACTATTCTGAACCAACCCCACAGTCATGCACAGATTTCAAAACCAATTCTTCTCTCTGAAACAACAGGGGAGAGCAGATAATTACCTAAGTGCAGATTCTGGACTAACTGTCTGCAGCTTGAGGGTACTCTGGCCACAGATGCGAAGTCCCCTCTCCAGGGCCCCTTGATGCCCCTTGTTCCCCGAGTTGAAGTTAGGAGACACATGAAGCAATCTAGTCTGATTTGTTAAGCCTGTGCTTCGCAGGCTGTTGCATATGCCGGCTAAACACTCGGGGCACTAACTCCGAGCTTCATAAGTCCTTCCTCCAGAGCCAGCATGGAGAAGCGGTTAATTTAGAAGCAGTCTGCCAGAGCGGCCTGGCCAGCAGCCAGAGGGCACTGTGCTCACTGTCCTTGAGAAGTCAGCCCCAGTGGGTTTCTATTTAACATATTGAAAAGCGTCTTTGACGGGAAGATATATTAAAAGTCTATAATGAGTTAGGTGGTGACGTTGAGGATGGCTGTGGTGTTGTAGCTCTGGGTCAAATCAGACAAAGATGGACGGATTCAGCCGTCAGACAATTACAAAGAATTTGCTTTGTGACACCAGAAACCATTTTTCCACACAACCAACCCCCTAGTTATGACAGCTCTCTTTCTTGCTGTGTCTCAGGGGGTTGGTGTAGAACATTATGATTGATTCGCACTGCTGCCGTATTTTTCTTGCAGAAAGGAAAGCAGGGGTGGAGCTTTGAAGACCCTTGAACCTGATTGGCCACGTGCATTTTTAGGGCAGTGCAGCCAAGAAAACACGAGGCAACCTTCCCACTCAGCATTGTTTCAGCAGGAAATAATTTGCTTACCCTTGGCACAAAATGTTCATTATCACCTTCAGTGTTTTCACCTTTATTTGAAATTCCATCATAACTTTTTTTCCAGTTACTCTGGTCAGTGTAGTTGAAGAGAACAAACTGCATTCAAAGTCAAGTCGTTTGTTTAAGTGTCCAGCTTAGAAATGATAACTTTCTGTCTTTTAACTAATTTATCTTTCTCATGTTTGGATATAATGGACCAAGCTGGCTGCTTAACTGCACATGGGCATATGAACAATATAGCTATAGGGGCAACAGCCTCCCTCTAAGTCATTTAAACATTGATTTTGTGCTCAGCTCTTGCTTGTTAATCTTTCCATAATGAAAAACTGCAAATGAAGACTTTGGAACAGCCAATAAAACATGGCCAGTGATCGCTAATGCATTTTAACTGGATCATTTTGACATTTGTTTCACGTCTTTAAGATGTAAGCCGATTCGTAATAAAATATAAACTCTCTGCCTGTTTCCTGCCAAATGTACAAAGTAAGTTAAAAAGCGTACCTGAAAACAAATCTGCCACAGCTGGAATGAGTGGATAACCAGGGATCTAGATAATATCACCTTAGGTGCCAACAGTATTTGAAGAAAATCTGTATCTTGAAAAGATTTAAGGAGCTTATCACAGTACACATGCCACTTTTTTTCTCCATAACATAAATACTTTCTGTCTGAAGTTGAAACTCTGATTTGATGTCCTGTAAATTAAATGCTTTAACATGTGCCTGTTACTTATTCATGTATGAAAGAGCATTTTCACTCATTAGTGTTGCTGACCACAGCACTGATGTGAACAGTCGGACACTTTACAAGGGTAAATCAGCACTAAAAATACATACCTGATTTTCACAATGTGAACCTCCCCATCATCCACATGAATTGATGAACTCATCCGTGTAACCTCTTCCTCTTCATTACAGCAAAAAGCATACTGAAACATTAGAGAGGGATATTACATTTGTGATTTGTTTTCTGTTATTTCATTACATTAACAACTATTAGCATTAGAACTATTAGCAAGGGGAAAAAATAGTCATTTCTTGATATAATTTAGAATCTGTAAAAGTCTTACATGCCAAATCCTGTTATCTTTGATATTCAGATATTTGGAATTCCCAATAACTATTCATTGTGAACATACACACAAAACTCCTTTATGACTCCTTTTCTAAGAAAAAGCATGGACACAACAGAGGCTATGGCTCTTTTCTGTCTTGGTGTTTCTGGCCAGTGATCTAACACCTGGAGACACATTCACATAGTGATGAATGTTATGAGTCCTGCACGGAGGAAAACCCATTTGAATAAAGATTGGGTTTTTGTAAACTTTTTATCACCGGAAAGAACTGTTGTTTGCGTGTTAGTGTTTCATTTAGGAGCAATTAACGTCGTGGCTCAGAATTAGTGAGAGTCCAGCACGGAATTAAAATGAGCATATTAACAGAAGGTTTGTCTTAAAAAGCAACTGAACTTAATTTGATTACCTGCAGGATTCCATCCAGGATAAAGAGTTTCATGAAAAAAAAATCCCCATTAACAGGTCCTTGGTCAACATATAGGAGCGTTCCCTGGTTTGCCGTGGTTTGAAATCTCACCGTGATGTTATTGAGGGTTTGGAGGTCAATACCTTGAAATTCAAGGTATGAATTCCCAAAGTAATGAAGGTAGCTCGCATCTAGGAAAAATGAAAAAAATGGAATGTTGAGATAGAGTCAAAGGGTGAATAAAAAGAAGACCCAACAGTTTATACATTTTAACTGTAAAGTCTGCTCAGAGTCCCTATTGATCCCTACAAGAAGAACTCATCTTTCTATTTGCTTCCTTCAAAGAGAGGTCAGGGCACAGTGGAAATATGGAAAATTAAAAATTCAGAATGTGGCTATGGACACATGAGCATGGACAATGCCTGTTGATACAGAAGCATGTACTGGAATTCCTGGTACCATGTATCTCTGTATGTGTTTCTGTGGTATACTGTGGTAACAACTGATACAATGAAAACATGTAGTATCAGAGATAGTGGCTGACATATAGACAGAAAACAGACATAACATATTAAAAGACTAGAGTGAAAGATGTTTTTAAAAAGGACAAGAATATGCTTTCAGGGCTTTTAGAAAGATCACAGCTTTTCCTTTTGCCAACTGTACAGACCTACAGTAAATATCTTTGCCAAAAAGCTGTGAGGCATGTAAATGGCACTATATTAGGGGAAGAAGAGTCTAGGCTGAAATGAATATATTCCTGCAAGTTTATTATATGCCTGATTTTATAGTGGAATAACATGGCTTGGCATATCGTCCATGAGAATGGGCAATTACTGGGAATTTCAGTAAAACTTCCAGTGCCCGCAAGCTTATTGGGGTTAGTGATGCAGACAAACTTAAAAGACTGACTCTGACTGAATTGGAGGCAAGCATTAGGGGTACTCATGCTCAATATATTTCTAATTTGTGGAAAGTAGTGCAATTTGTAGGAGAAAAGTCAAACAGCAGGGCCTGTTAAATCGAAGGGCATTCCCGGATGCACCTGTCTCATGCTTTGTCTGTTCTCATCTTAGAGAAAAAAAATGATTACACAAGAGAAATCAGCAACGTGTCTTTAAAGCTGTTGCTAAGATTAATCAGGCAGTTGCGATGTGTGAACTTATCAATGTTTGTTAGATGTCAAGTTCTAATGGGCCAGACTCCTTTTGATCTGACAGGGGCTTCCTCAGGGCATTTGGCAAGCAAGCTAACCTAAATGCCTCCATATTCTCTGGAAAGCACTATGACCAAATACCTTGAGGAGAATTCCCTAATAGCAAAACGTGAGAATGATCAGAATCAGACCCACTGTGTCCTATGAATTAATGAGGATAAATTCACACAGCAACAATGCTGTGCTGTCTTATGCTTTACTCCTGACAATGGGGTTTGCCAATGCTGATGATGGAAAATTACCCCTCAGAGACAGAGCTATTCATTAATTTTAAAGCCTTGTTTAGTCTGATGTAGTCTTTGATGCATTTTGAGACCGCTGCCAGGAGGCAGTATCATGCCTCATTAACAGTAAGCTTCAGTCTCTCCTTCAAAGGTCTCCTGTTTTTATCATTACCTTGCATTCTCATACCAGATTTTTCATGCTTATGCCTAAAGTAACTATTCATACCAAATCTAAATTGTAAATGTTCACAATATAAACTTTATCTTCAAATTTCTCATTTTATGCACTATATCAGTGTTTCTTTTTCCTGTTAACATAATGCTGACAAAGCAGTTTCCCACTGCTGTAATCTGTTCAGAAGCTTTTTGTAGTCTCTAAATGGACAGAAAGTCATCTACTGGGAGTATTTCTTGATATAAATCTTTCACATCAGTTTTAATTAGGACCAGTCTTGATACATGACCATAAAAAGAGGTGAGAAAACTGACATGAGTCATATTTAATGTAACATAGAAAGGTGGAGCGCATCGTTGCGAGACAGACTGTGGGTGTTGTGTCAGTGGGGTTGAAGAACAAGACAGTCAACCAGGAACATATATTTGCAGAAATGTGACTTTAAGATCATTTAATTGGAGGACAGACTCTGGATGGTGAGATTTAATTAATATGGACTTAATGTCCCATTTATTAAAAAAAAAGGCATGTGTGAGGCTGCTTTGTCCCTGATTTATAGGGGAAGGTAATAGACTGACTGATTGATCTTGTCACAGGACAGAGCTAAGATATTGTTGTAATCCATTCTTAGATTCTAGAGAGCTTTTAAAAGTGTCAAAAGGTCATCCTGTACATATTTCTATTTGAGCAATCAAAGAGAAATATGTGCAGAAACACACAGTATCAAATTTGGAGTATGCCTATAATACCTTTCTTTTATTTTTTACATAGTCACTATATATTAGGATTATTATAAAATACAACTGAAATTGACAATTTTGACTTTGCTCTTTAATGAATTAATACAAATACTTTGAGCAAATCTGTTGCACCAGTAATTTCATCCCACAGATTATATCTAAATAAATGCAGGCAAATTTAGTAGGTACAGCATCTGAATACCAAAAATAAAAACCTTAAACAAAAATAAATAGAACAAGTGCTCAACAAAAATAATGCCCGGTAATCAAAATAACTTCTAATAAAGAGAAGAGAAGAGATATTTAATGTCTAAAAATACTAACTTCTTACTCATCAAGTCGATTCTGAAGAGGTATGATGGGGTAATTTTATTTCTGCTGCATGTGGCAGCAAAAGATAACAGCATCACCTGTGCAGCTGTGATCACTCCAAGCAAAGTCAACCAAATCGTGGCTTAGCAGCAGTAAGCCTCCCTCCACCAGAATTGTGCTCTCTAGATTTTCATCTGCTTTCACATTGT